CTTCTCGAAAAGTGCGACCCTCACCCAGTTGCGTCCTTATGATACGACTCCCCTTCCCCATTTTATCTACCACTTCCCTAGTTTCCTATGTCCTCCCTACTTCCTCCCGCTCTTTTCGAAATTTCTCGATGATTTTACGGTTTCCCCCTCCCCAAATTTTGCCATCTGGGGGAAAGGGGTCGTCACCATCAACTACACGAAATACGGCTTTCAGCTATTGAAAGAGTAGTTGTATAGAGTAATTCCCAACATCACCAACCAAGCTGAGAGAGATGCAACCCCCTCCCGTCAAACCAGATACGACCCCCCCCCTGGGAATTACCCAATGTACGACGTGCCCGGATCGTTTCACATCTGAATGGAGCCAGCTACGGCTAAGTGATGTCTGGATACCGCATGCACTGGCCACCACCCTTCCAAAAACACTTTTGTCTGACAGCATGGGCAGGACTCTCTAAAGTTAAGAGTCATTAATCATGGAACTTGGGCCCATAACGAGAGCGAAGCGCAACAGGCCTCGGGACTGCTGCACTGCCATCAGCACCCCTACCGTAGCCCGAACTCTATGCTATTGGGCTCCAGATTTCTAAAATTGGCGATGTTTTACTCCTACGTGGTAAGCCTCCGGAATCTGACGGCAGCAAAGAGAAAGAAGTGTTTGTGCCGGCTCAGTGTAGCCCTCTTACAGGATGTCGCTCGCTGAAACGGATAGCCACATTCTAGAAGAACCGGGTGGAGCAGAATGAAACATCCACCGTATAGTGCTGGTATTTCTCCATATGGCTGCTATCTGTTTCCGACTCTGACGAGCGCCCGATAGGAAAAAAGATCGATTAACCACAACCACCTCAAGAACGACCTCTTCGAAATCTTCGATTGCCAGCTTCCCTGACTCCGCTACAGAGCCACCAGCCATTACCTAGCAGAAAAGCAGATAACGTATCAGTGATTCTGCAGTCAATTATTATGTTTATTAAATGAAAAATTCACGAAAGTGTCCAAGATTGGGTAAAAATTGTGGGCAAACCCAGGAGTTTTCGACAATTTAATACTGCTTTCAGCTAATCCGTCTACTATTCTGCCCATCAATGCGACGCTTCCTTCGCTCACCACTCACCATCGTCGACGTGGTTTCAACGTCAGCGTTCTACTTTGAGTGGCTACTACACGCTATTCTTATACAAACTGGTAAGCTCAGTCTCTTCCTTATATGACACTACTTTTTATTTCGAGCAAATTTTAAAGTTTGATTGGAGGAATAATTATTTATGTGCATTGAAGAATTCGTTATAAGTTGCCGATGGTACTTATTTACCCATTTTGACGGGAATACAGTGTTGCACGCGGCGCCAAGTGCACCGCGACGCCAGGTGCGCGCCATTCGCACCAGGAACTTTATCCTTGTTCGCTGCGAATGTTGGGCGTGTCACGTAGACCGATGCTGGCGCGCCAGCCGGTTCTTCACCCTATTTTTAAGGCGAATGAGCACCAACAATTGACAGACTACGTGCCCCACCAAGCACAACCGTCCCGACGCGCCTCAGCATTCGCAGCGAAGAAGACTACCTGCTCTTCACAAAGTGGATGTAACGACCCACATCCACAGTATACGAATCAGCAATATAAACGCATTTAACTTGATATCTGGTACGCTCCAGCTTACGGCTGAAAAAGAAATCCCGGTAATCTCCTCATTTGGCTCTCATTTTTGAAATATCTATTGTTTCGGGATCTCGATGATATGTGTACTGCGTTTGTTCAAGCTCACTCAGCATTTCTCTGGCCTTAAGATTCTTATACAAACCTTCAAGGTAACCTGTTCTGAATCTATTAACTTTTTTACGAGAGCTCCACAGTGGTTCATCCTCTGCTATTCCGTTTATGATTACAATTGTCTCAAAGGCAGTTGGCACGATAAATTCCTAAGACGAGTAGGAATAATATGCCTGGGAGGAGAGGATTCCGCGGACCCTGAGCAGGCTCTGCGGAAGGTAAGAAAGGCCAATCCCGCTTTCCCACAATTGGACGACCGTACCCGATGCTCGTATTGCTTTATTTGCTAATGGTAAGTAAAATATGAAGCGAAGGGATTGGTATGAAGCGGCCGCCGTGCAGCCGTACCTCGCAGCGGTCATTGGCAAGATGCCTACGGAAACTCGTCCGAAATTGCTTTTGAGTCATTAAGAACGAAGGCTTTTCTTCGCAGTTTTTGACCGTTTCACTTCGTTTTTTCGCCATTTTCCCCACTATATAGCGCCCTGCTAGCATTTTAGATCGAATACCAAATTATCGTGCCAACTGCCTTTGAAATGAAAAATTTCACCAGAAGCATAGTTGTTCAAGTGAAGTACGTAGCCACGCCTATCCGATCTCAGGGATTTAAAGTAGATATCAGCGCAGCAACGCGAGAGCGCTATCAAGGGTGGAAATTGTGCAGCGAAAACTGTCGTCTCATACCGCGCGCATGATCCAGGAGCCAAATCTCCACTCCAGTCTCCTGCGGGTCACCGAACCTTCCATTCCTCCGGAGTTACTTATTCTGTATAGGACTTGTTTGGGAGGATAGAATCACTTTTTGTGTTGGATCGGCTGCCCCGGATGTCATTGTAATGGCCAGTCGGACGCACTTCGGCGGAGGAGGGGGGGGGCATTTTGCACTTTCGTTGCTTCACTAGTTCCGTTTACAAGTCTCACTCTGGTGAAACCTGTGAACTCTTGTGAAGCTGGAGCAAGCTCGTCAAGCCATCATGGTAAAACCTGTCAACTCGAGACTGTCTAGATGGGTCGACACGTCGATATGGAGAAGTAACAAAAGTGCAAAATGCACCCCGTCGCTGAACTGCCCGGCCAGTCGTACTCAGTATGCCATCGCGATTCCCAATGGAGAAAAAAATACGTGACCTTCGCAAAAAATGCTTAACGCAGCACTAAATGCTCCTGTCTTCTTTATGATGATATGCCAGAGAAGCTGAAAAATAAACAATGAGAAAGCCTGCTGTTAAAAAATTTCGACATAAGCTGACTCACACAGCCATCTGTTTCAGGCATCAGCTGAAGAGCTGGCGCTGTTAGTGTTCTTCGTCTTACTTGCCATTGTGATATTTGCGGCTCTTGTTTACTACGCGGAGAGAAGTCAACCAAATCCAGAAAATCAGTTCACAAGTATACCATCCGGATTGTGGTGGTGAGTATTGAAATCGCATAAGTTTCTAATTATTTCTGCCAAATCGCCAATATTTTCCAGGAGCCTCATCACAATTTCCACCGTGGGTTTTGGTGATATGGTGAGTACTGTTTCGACCTCAATCTACATATTCCCCATGTCGCATCTTTGCTACGTATAATCGAGCGCACACCGTTCCTTAAAAGCTCAGCGCCATCGAACAACCAGAGCAACGCAGAAAAGGACTCGAAGAATTTCGGGGATGCGGCGCTTTCTCACTGGGGTGTCAAATATCGTTCAAATTTTGTAAAGAGGGCAGGTCACAATTGGGAAAAGGCAGTAAATGGTTGAGAATGTCGTCCTCTCATTTTGTGTAAATGGCTTGAGGACTGCTTTATCTACCGAATCTAAATCAAGTTTATAAGAGCGCACTGGTTTCAGTAAATCTGGACCATTCCAGGTACCTCGGACGTATCTTGGCATGGTAGTTGGTTCACTTTGCGCTCTGATGGGAGTATTGACGATCGCATTACCTGTACCGGTCATCGTATCCAACTTCTCCAACCTATATTCGCATTCACAAGCTCGAGCTAAACTACCGAAGAAAACGGCGAAAAGGAGAGGTGGAGAGTTTTACAGGTAATGGGTAGGCTCAGAGAGCCGACTAGCAGACGCACAGGTCCCAGTTCCTCTCCTATTGCGGTAGATTACTGATGAGTGGGCTAGAGCTGGAACTGTTGTCATGTTAAGAAAGAGCTCTGTTTATTTAATGATTATTGCGAAAACTGAATATCTAGAGCTGCTTTCAACTTAAAAAGACACATGGTACGCTCATACACATTGAGGGTGTATGAGACTATCAGCCCCCAGATGTCGATGTGTCGTGGTCCCCCCGCCCAAACATGCCCAGGAATGGAGATACAGGGCCGTGAAACACGCTAATTCCTCCATGCTCCGCCCACTGCCTTTTTACGGCGCAGATTCCCGCCGTTCATAACATCCGTTCGTGAAAGCGCGGCGCCTGTCGCGTGCGCTCCTTGGCACTTTGCCAAGTCCTTTAATTGCGCTCTCAAATACAAGGAAAACGCAATTTCCTGATGCGGATAACATTGGAGGTGCTACAAAATAAGAGCAGAAGATGATGACGAGGGTCAGAACTTAAAAGCAACTGTGCCACTTCTGCAACATCCCTCGGAGGCCACGTATTTCCACGAAACATGAAAATAAAAACGGCATACTCGTTAGTTTAATACAAGCAAGACGCAATTTCCTGATGCGAATAAAATTTGAGGTGTTGCTCATGCTTCAAAATCCATGTACAAGGAGATGAAGATGACACAGGCTAGAAATGAAGCACAACGATGTAAATGTAAACAAAACAAAAATGAAAAAATCAAGGAAAGGCAAATTAGATAAACTGGCCTGTAAATTTCTACGATCCGGCGCCAAAGCCATAGAAATACTTAGAACAAACGAGTGGGACGCTTGGGCTGTTTTTATTTTCATGTTTTGTGGAATGCGCGGCCCTTGATGGATACTGCAGATGCAGCCGAGTTGCTCTCTTGAGTTCTGCCCCTTGTCATCATCCCATCTGCTCTTTGATTTTTAGCACCTCCAATGTTATCCGCATCAAGGAAATTGCGTTTTCCTCTGTATTTTGAGAGCGCAATTAAAGGACTTGGCAAAGTGCCAAGGAGCCGCACGCGACAGGCGCGCTTACGACGGATGTTATGAACGGCGGGAATCTGCGCCGTAAAAAGGCAGTGGGCGGAGCATGGAAGGAATTAGCGTGTTTCACGGCCCTGTATCTCCATTCCTGGGCATGTTTGGGCGGGGGGACCACGACACATCGACATCTGGGGGGGCTGATAGTCTCATACACCCCCCCCCCGCCACCCCCCCCCCCCCCCCCCCAATGAATGTAGTATGAGCGTAGCGGTACATGTGTCTTAAGGCGAGGGTTTCCTCTAGGAACAGAGGGGTATGTGTCAAAACAATCGTAAGTCGCCATGCTGGTGGGCGTGGCCAGCGAGTGGCCTATCGCATCTGCTATTTTCTAATGTCAACGGTTTTTCGCTAGGAAAAGTATTTGACTAAAGGGGATCATAAGCTAATGAGCTTAGTTTTTTTTGTCGTTGTAGTACAAAAGCGCGGCACCGCTTGTCAAAGCGTACAAAGCGCGGCACCGCTTCTCAAGGGGTCGCGCGCGCCGCCGCATAATACTCCGCGCGCGGCGGCACGACGATTTACGATTGTCTTGACTGCCTACCAGCATAGGCCAGCGAGTGTTATAGACTCAGAACCATTATGCCTTCTCTATTGATGAGTCCCCTCTCGTTATAAGAGTAGGGGTGTACCAGTGGTTATGAGTCTCCACCCATGCGATGATCGCGGAGTCTTTTTATTAGTTTGCTGAAGAACTAAACGTGGCGAGTTTCAGGCTCATGAAGTAAAGCCGTCAATGCTAAACGCCAAGCATTCACATGCGAACAAGCATCGGAAGAAATCTAATTCATCGAATACGGTCAACATGACGCCAATGAACAATCTGGGACGAAATGGCGGACCACCGTACGACTCCCATCATAAACTAATCACCTAGCATATTAGAACTGCGATCAGTTCCGATCGCTTCCATAGTTCTCATCTTCTTCAGTGAGGAATCTCAACGACTCTTGTTTTTTTGTGACAGATGTCCGTGTCTAGTTAGTTGTCCCATCGTGACGTCCGATATCTTAGGTGCTTAATGTCACTAAGTACTGTATTCTGTACTATAAATCGGGTAAATGGTCCAATGTTCGCTATGAGCGGGTTTTTAATGTGAGGTCTCTTGTAATCTCGCATGCATGATCTGAAAGCCTAGTCATCATCTTGTCATATCGATCGCTATTGATTTTTTAGGCTGTGATTTCATCATTTAAGAGCTTCATCAATGTGGCCATAAATCATATACTCATCATATAATGTTTCAACGTGCCAATGTTATCGAAAGAACTATGTATAAATTTCCATAGGCATTATGATTACTGTAACCGCATACGGTACTGTAAAGGAGCTATGTATATGTGGCGATCGATATCGATGATTTTCATTGATATCATGAGTGCCCTTTCAAAGGCATGTTTCACGATAAGTTCGCCTTTCAGGGACTTTATGGCACACCTGCTCAGGTACCACACAAACGTACAAACGTATATGTGGGCTTGTTGGGGTAGAAGTCCGCTTAGGAACGACATTATCATGGCCCAACTGCGATTACCCCGCCTTTCCTGTGCACCCCGCCTCCAATTGGACGTGTTGATCTTGCAATAAAAAACGCGCTTAGCTACAATAAAATAAGATACAAAGGTACCTCAACGCTGAGAGTGGCGTAGTAGGCCATGTGCTTGATCTGATACTACTCTAAAAGGGTTGTCCAGACGTCCAGTCCATCGCGTCGTTCGAGACTTCTCAAAGAAGCCGCAGAGTCAGGGACCTCATTTTTCGGGTTTTTGAGGATTTTTTCAGCCTATGGTGGCCTTCCACATAGCAGCACCACTCCTATCCTATAGTACCACAACTTGTGTCGCTTATAAAGGCGCGATTCGAGGTGTTGTCGGGAGAGCTGGGATAAGCGTTGCGCGGTGTTTTCCACTCCTAGGTGTTTTTTTACCTAAGCCTGCCGCTATTGGTAGAAACCGCACTGGCGTTGCGCTCATTCCACGCCTCCTGACCCGCCTCCCCCTCCCCCACCTCCCCTCCAAACTGCGACGATATCAACCATAGCTAGGCTGTCGTGGACGTGCCTTTAATGTGTGCTCATCGATATGTCTACAGATGTCTAGCGTAAATAAACGATAATCAATAGTATTGATCGATTATTGATTTCAGACTAGACTACAAAAATGACGAGTGGTGAGTTGCATGGTATTGAATGGTGATAAACATTTGTACTGACACTGCCTGGTGTTCGCGCTAACATTTCTCACGCTAATACAAACAAATGGATTCCCTCGGGATCGATTCATCGATCGAATCGATCCGTGAAGAAATCTTGAAGTTTTCAATGTGAGTGTTTGTCGGTCGGTGATCGTCGTTTTCTGCTTCTTCTTTGCTAGATGGAGACGCTTTTGACAAAGCTGTTCTATGCTTAAGACGGCTTTCTCCTACCGCATCTCTTTCTTCACCTACCGTAGTCCTTCTCGCACTGTCTAACAACCACAAAGTAATTAAAAGATTACTACTACCACTTGCACCGTCCTGTTGATGAGCTGAAACCCGTAATACCTCCAGGCATCTCAGCCAAAAATCCCTTCATTAATTGTCTTCTCACCTTTATTTTTTTAACGATGGAATGTTTACGCAAAATAAATCGTCCCCAATCAATCGATAATATAGAAATTTTTTATTACCGTACTTTTGAGTCAATCCTTCCAGCAGAACGTCCACCATAGAACAATAAAATCATATTCCAGTTCTCTAGCAGAGTCATTGGTTGAAAATACGAAAGATCAACTTTCAGACAATTTCACTAATCAATATCTGCTTTGTGGTACTGTCGATCGTATGTTTCTGTTTGAAGACACATCCCTATCTGCGAATACCGGACATCGATATCGGCTCATTGAATGTTACTCATCCGAGGACAGTATACGTCGGTAAAACGGCGACCAGGTGACGATATTGAACTTACGCTATCAGGAATTCGACATTTAGTTCTGCCGATAACCAGCGTTTCCCATTCGAGAGCAAAGAGGAGGGCAACAGAAAGTTCTTAGTAAAATAATAGTAATAAGAACTATTATGTAAAATTTAATAAAAGGATGTACTCCTCTGATTGAAACCTATGCATTATTCAAAAGCAGTGTGCACGATGGCTAGGGGTGGACGGTTGCTGCCAATTTCAATGTTGGAAGGGCGGAGTGGTATGTGGCCAAATGCCCTCTCGCAGAATTTCCACCTACGGCACTGGTCCCAACTGCCCGCCTCCAATCATCGTGTACAATCACTGCCTTTGAGGGCACGCTCCGCGATTGGGCGCGAAGTTGCTCTTCCTCCGCGAGGTTTGGTCGTGGAGCGGTTGTGTGGTTGTGCCACTTTGGCGGTGCAAAAGCCAGTCTTGAAGGTACCCATGCCGTCGTTCCCCTCACTGCCTTCAGCGGGTTCGCCCACCGCTTTACCCGGAATAAGAAGTTAGCTGGCATGAATTATGAGGACCATACCGACCACAGCAGCACTGCCCATCATAGAAGGGTTAAATGGTTTTCGAGGAAATCCAGAGAAACTAATGTCTAGTAAGCAAACTAAGAAAGACCATTGGATTTCATAGGGACCCATGATAGAACATGAATATTCAAGATAAAGACGACTCGAGAAGGATTATCGATACTACCTGAGATGATGTAAACTACAGGGAGTCGTTGGATTCCACGACGAATCTCGCGGACGGCAGAGAACTCCAATGTCGCCGCGCCGTTCGTCGCACAGCCCACCGCGCGCGGCGCGGGCGGTGTGACCTCATCATCGGCCCACGATGGAATAGCCCTGTTCTCCGGAAGCGCA